GGAGTACGCCTTCCTTTACCTCTACCAATCGTATCATTCATATCGTCTTCCATTAGTAAATATGAGCTTATTCTGAATCTAATCAAACCAGTCCAAGATTTGTTATTTAATCATGAGTTATCTGGCTGGTCAGTAAATGTAACAGGGGGACTAATTATCCAACAAGCTCACAAAAGGATTGGGGTGAAGCTATAGTTCATGCGCCGTTGTCTAATTAGTTTCGAGCACACACCGAGCAGCTTATAAACCTCTGTTCAATGGTTATGGACAAGTTCGGTTATGATAGGCTAGAGGCTAAGCTAAATGTACCCCAAACTATAAATTCACTTACAGACGCCGAATTTAGTTATGCAGTGGATATCCGGTAGGGGTAAAAATATCTTATACCTATAAATTAGGGTTGGCAAATAAAAATCAATATTTTTATTAAATTTTATTGACTAATTTGATCAAGTACTTAATAAAAGGAAAGACAAAGACTAGATTATTTTAGAATAAAATAATTTTTGTATGAAAAATACTAAATTGTACTAGTAATCATTAATTATAAGATGAAAAAAATTCTTGATTTATTTTGTATTTCATTGTTTTTGACATAATTAATTAGGGATGTACCGATATTTAATATCGAATCGGATTGGGCCGATATTTTACCTATTTTTATCGGCAAATGTTATAAAATTTTCAGATCCGATCCGATACAAAATGGCGTTTTTAACAAAAATAAAATATTATTAAATTTAAAAAAAAGTTATATCTAAAAATTTATTTTTATAAATAAAATCGAAATCCATTTTTAGGTTTATTTTTTTTAATAGTAATAATTAGTTAATAAACATTCTGCCATATTGTTATTTTTTTTGCATTCTGTTTATAGAAGTGTGCAATAATCTTCAGAATCTGTTTTTAGTGAAGCTAGTGATATAGTCCCCATTACCGCAGACTGACCTCTGATAAATTGGAAATTTTTGTATTTCTAAAAAGAAATCTTCGATATATTAATTTAAATATCTATTTCAAATTTTAAAATATATTTGTTTATTACTTATTAAAATAGATGAATGTTATTACTTACTATATAAATAAGTGATTTTTCAATAAATATATTTTATAACATTTAGAATTGCAAATGAATTGAATATAAACTATAACTCATTATAATATATTTAAATGACATGGTATGGTATAGTTAAATCATAGATGTTATACTAATAAAAAATATATTAAAAATTAAAACCATTGGTATCTTTACAGAATACAAAATTAGATAAGAAATCGGATCTGTAATCGGCCAATATCAATTTAATATCGGGAATATTGGATCGGATCGGGCTCCAAAAATTGGTATCGGTACACCCCTATAATTAATTGATAATTGTATATTTAGAAATAGAAATCTGCAGAAATAGGCCCGATACGTACCCGGCCCGGCTCGGGCCTAATATTTTTTAAAAAATCGGGTTCGAGCCGGTCGGGCCTAATATTTTTTATAAAAATTGGGCTGGGTCGGGTCTAGCCTTGGAAATTTTTTAAAATATATTTAAATTTATCAATTTTATATTAAATTTTTTATATAAAATAAAAATATTTTATTTTATTTTAGAATTAGACGCCATATAACATATATCTTTTATTTTGAGCAATTATAAAAATTAATTTCTATATTTAAATTGGGCTGGACCGGTAAATTTTTTTTGAAATTGAAGAATTAGACCCGATGCACAACTATTTAGGATCTCAATGTAGTGGGAAATTATTTAATATTCCAAAAAATATAATAGTTAATTTAATTCAGGGCTGTGAACCATCCTTCTAATATCGATTTTTTTTATTGAAAGTCGGATTTTCTTTGAGAAAATAACAAATTAGCTCATGACTTATCACATATTTTTTCAAAAATTTCCTGATTAGATCTTCTGGAGCATTAACTTTTTACTTATAAGAAAATATTATACTAAGGTTAAAATAATGATAATATATGATATTTTTCAATCTAAATCTGAGCTTCTCTAAATGAAATATTATTATTTGGTTTAAATAGCAATTTAAATCAAAAAATTACAATTTTGCCAACCCTACTATAAATGTCAAAGATGTGGAGCACAAGTAGATGAAAAAGGAAGACAGCCTCTCCATTGTCTTTTTAATGGATACAAATACATATGGCATGAAAATAAAATAATCCAAAATTTATTATTTAAAGCTGATGTTCCTTCACATCCAGAACTGAGATATACAAGTTATCAATAATTAACGGCTTGATAAACATACTTTAATTCCCCGGGATATTGGGAAATATTAGGATTTTACGTGCTTAGGATTTTACGTGCATAGATATTTTTGCATCCTCTAATAATAATCATGATCCATTAAGTATTGAAGGAAAAATCACAAAAATATTCACATCTATCCGAAACAATATATTCATACCAATTGTGATATCAAAAAACTGTTTTTCGGAAAACAGGCTAAATTTCTAGTCAAACGAATCATTCAAAAGAGCAATAAAACAACAATTTCGAGGGCTTTTTTGATCACACAACAAATTAGCTTCAAAATATAATTTTAAATTATATGGATTCGCCAGATGGAGTAGATTACTTTTTTTAATGTTTGTTTTTAAAATGTTTTTTTAAGTATTATTAATATGTATTTTATATGTTTTTAATAATAGTTTTCAAGTTATTTTTAATTTTTTTAAAAAACCCCATATTGGATAATTAAAAATTCCCTGGAAATAAACTTTCGAAAAAAATCCTTGGAAAAAACCCAAATCATTTTTCCTGACCAGTCAGTAAAAAATAATTTTTGTTTTTGTAATTAAATTCCATTTAAAAAATTTTTTTTTTAAATTAACTAAATTGATAATAAATACTTGAAATTTAAAAGAACTATAAGATGTTGTGTTTGTAGCACTGAAATTTTATATATCAAGCAAGGAAAAAGATTCAGCAGATGCTGAGAATCTTTTGCAGGCTATTATTAAGCCACAATTTTTAATATCAATTCAATGTATTTATTTTTTATTTAATTGTACATATTATTTTAGAAAATATTACAAAAAATTGATTTGGATTAAAGGGAGGTTATGAATAGAGCAAAGGATATTGTTGAAATATTAACAAATATCAGAGAGAATGTGGATAAAAAATTTCATGAAATATATGAGAAAGTAAAGGAGATTGTTAATATGTTTGGGATTAAAATTTTTAAGCCTAGAGTAGTTTCTAGACAATCCAATAACTCAAATTGAATCTACGATTGAGGATTTTAATAAAATAAACATATTCATTACCCTTATTGATACATTTTTATTTCAATTAAAGGATAGATTTATTAGTCATAATTTTATTTTAAAAAGTTTTTATTTTCTTTTGCCAGTTGAGTCTAAACTATTCATTACACTTGAAACATGAGAGAAATTAGAAAATCAGAGTTTTACGCTGATAATTTAGTAGGCTCATATGATAAATTACTTTGTGATGTCGAATTATGATATAAAATAGGGTATTCTTAAAAAAATGCTCTGCAGGCTCTTTCCATGTGTAATTGCACTTTAGATTCTCAAAACATTATTAATTATTTTAGCTACCTTACCAATTAGTACCTGTACTAATGAAAGGTCTTTTTCAACTTTTAAAAAGGTTAAAAACTTATTTTAGAGATACCACCGATGAAAAACGCATGGTTATAGCAGCTCAAATTTAAAACACCTTAATGTTAAAAGATTTTCTCCAGCTCATACCTATAGATTGAGCCAAATTAGCTGACATTTAGCCATTATCCAACTATAATCCTGACATAATTTTTATCGTAGTAGTCAATAATATCTTTTCCATTGTTAGAACTAACCATTCTTAAAAATGTGATTGCATGGACCATATCAGATAATGGAAAAACAGCTAAACCATTCATCATGTTACAAAAGAAGTTTTTTTCCTATATTGTCTTTCTAGGCCTAGCTTCTGAATTTTTATGTGTATGACACAAATGGTAAAAAGCACCCTCTGATTATGTTCTGATTTCATAATTAAAAAGGATAGAATTCTATATTAATATTCATAACAATTATTGTTTTAACCATGCTCATAGCTGACTTTTTGAAATTCATATAAACATATTTAGATTTACAATGTTATTTATTAAATTTGATTTGAAAAATAAATATTATTAGTTATTTAGCCAATAATCCAACAAATAGAATTGCTAAAATGTGTCAATAGATAATATTATTTATAACTATACAGAAAATCACAAAAAAGAATCATTATTTATAAAATTTATATATTACTTAATTTTATAAAATATTTTGACAAGGAATTTATATATCTAACAATTTTTTATTTTATGTTTTTATATCAATTTATATTTTTACCCTGCAATATAAGTAATATTAATTTTTATAGCTTTATTTTTACATCCCACAGAGAAAATAAAATATATAAATATAATATTCGTTTTTAAATCCATAACTTTAGATCCCAAATATTTCTATACAAGTAATTGCATATCCCAAATATTTTTAAATGTGATGTGTAATAATTAATTAGTATATTAGTATAATGTTTATAAAATTGTTACACTAAAAAATTTGGATTTTTTTAAATTTTTTAGTACCCCTTTTTAGTAGTGAGATGCCTAAAACTGCCCAATAGTGCCATTTCCCTCAGCAAAATCCTGACACTGCCTATGTATAAGAATTCAATATTAATTTCCCATATAATGTTTTTAAGAAAATTTTAATTTATTCTCATTTTATAGCAATTTATTAATATAATAAAGATTTTTTAATTGTTACCTTTTTAATGGTAACTTAACTAATACATTTTTTTATTAAATAATGGTAACTAAAACAGAAAATATTTTGGTATCTTGCTCAAATCTGATCAAATATACTAAATTTTATATTTTAAAAAAATGTATATATTAAATAAAACAAATATAAAAAAAATATATTATATTTATTAGACTGCTTAAAATATTTTACATTTACACTTTACCTTTAAATGCTAACAAAAATGTCCAAAGATATATATCACCTATTCTAATTAAAAATGATTGACAACTTATAATATTATCGAATTTTAAATGATAGAATATCAATTTTCTAATGTTCCTTTTTTTCAAGTACAATCAATGGCATATGATAATATGTATTTGCTACGCTTATAAGATAAGACAGTAAAATTATATAAGTCATAAAACTTTACTGATATGGTTAAACAGTCAATAAAATTATTGTGTTTAAATCAAAATATAAGAATAGATATAAATTAATAGTATTTCAACCTCAAGGCAAAATTGCCTGAAATTTACCATGCTGTATCTCATAATAAGTACAAATACATTTTCGATCAATTAATAATTTATTTTAAAATTATTTCAGTAAATAATTTAAAATTGAAATATTCCGAATCCAATAAATTCCATACCTTAATCAATAATATATTATAGCAATTAGATTGGCGATTCATTCTGCTACAAATATATTTAAATAAAATTAATTTAGTTTTAATTCTTACATTATTATTTTGGCATATTATTTTAATATTTGGACACTCGAGTCCAATAATCGGGGAGGGGAAAAGATCGACAAAGTTCGTGGGTCCGGGATTGTCGGAGTAGTGGACTGGAGGTTAGGACTTGGCAAGCATTTTAGAGATAGAATTAACTGGATTTATAGAAATACGTATATTTATTTTAAACTAAAAGTTATTGTACAAAATACAAACTATTACTTAAAAACTTAGTTTTAAGCCTAGTTAAAAGTTTTTGATAATATAAATATGTTCTAAAACCTATAGTCTAGTAATAAATTGGCACTGTGATTATATTTTATTAACGAAGAAAAATAAATTTATATAATAATATAAAAAGTATTCATTGGTAACTATTACCGATTTAAATATATTCTATATTGCAATAGATTAGAAAATAATAAAAAATGTTTATTAAAAATTTTACACATTTATTTATGTCATATTTTATCATTTTTATTTGAATTATTTATGCAAATGATGTGTTTTGTTAAAGTAAAATAATATTAATTATGCTATAAGAAACATAATAAATGAATTAATCTACCCCCAGGTTTGGGGCTTGTTGGGGCAAAAAATTTACTTTTATTAGAATCAATCTTGAGATAAAACAAAATCATAAAGGATTAAAATTAATTAGGTGTTTGGACTATCTTATGATAAATTTGTGTACAATTATTTTTCGACGTAATATAGAACCGACTAGCCCTGGGAAGATTGGTCATCGGTATGATAACGAAATTCATATCATATGTAATACTCTATGCAAATCTTGTCCCTGCACGTACCCGATCTATTTTTGAAAAATAATTGCAGGTCTGGCTTTATCAGGACTATTTTTAAAAAGGTTTCGGGCTCTTGACAAAATAGACCCTATACAAATCACTATTACACTACTCAGTTCAATCACATATTTGTTTTAATATTTTTTTATTATTATTTTAGCCCATGTATTTTATATTTTAATAAATATTTTTATATAAATTTGAAATAGAGTTTAACCAGTGAATTTATTTTTAAAATTTGAATATTGTCTTTTCTTTAAAAAAAGTTTCATATCCAGGGCTGCCAGATCCTGCTTATTGGAAGAGAGCATATTTTTTATGTATTTTAAATAAGGAATTAAAATGAATTTGATAATTAAGCAGTCTTTTAATAAATTGCATTTATATTACATTTAATCTTGCAAATGATAATTTTTTTATACCATATTATTCGACATATATTTGGACCCTTTTCAAAAAAATTTTAAAAAATCAAGACAAAACCATTTAAAATGGTATTGCAAGCATATAATTGCTTTTATAGATTTAAATTCCGCTATTCATCTCATTTCATCATTGAGTATTGATTAAGGAAAAAAATCTTTTAACGTTAGCAAGAGCTGGTGTAGGAAAATTGAAGCTTGCTATAATTAGGAGTTCTTCGAGTATTGAAATATCGTTGAAATATTTGACCCAATATTTTTGAAAAGGACGTTTTGTGTATTCAACGCATTTTATTTCCAAGTTCAGCCCATTAAATGCAATGCTTATCACATATCTTTTGATGCATTTACTTGGATTTTATGTCCATTATATTATATTGATTTCAAGTATTGCCTTTACTTTTAATTAGTTCTGTAAACGTTACTACAAAAAGGAAACTCGGTACCGTTAGTAGTTACATAAGGAAAAAGGAACGCATTGCCGTTACTCGTTACCTTTTTAAAAAAGGTACGCGCGATACTGACTATTTAAAAAAATACTGCTTACTCCATAGGCGTAGCCAGGGGGGGCAAGGGGAAATCCCCTCCCCCAGATTCAGAAATTTATCACTTTTTGTGGATATCATTTTACGCTAATAAAAAATATCCCCCTTAGTCCTCCCCCCATTACCTGACCCCCAAAAATGTATGCATATATCTTAAACAATAATTTGAAAGAAAGAATATAAAAGTTATTTTTCTATAAAGCTATTTATATAATTTATACATTTTTGGAAAAAAGCTTTTATATAAAAAAAAACCAAAAATGTTTTTAAGAAATGGAATATAAGTTAAAGATAAGTTTTAAGACAAAGGGGAAATGTATTATAATTATAATAATAGATCCATAAAATTACTAAATAATATAATATATCAAATATAATTTTTTATAAAGTGAGTAATTTTATTTTAATTTATTTATCTTAATAAAAGTAAAATATAATTATAAAAGTATTGGTAAAATTAAATCATAAATAAAGCACAATACAAACAGTGGAATATTATATGTCGTAGATTTACAGTATATTTAATTTTATCAATTATCATATGACAATCAAGTAATTCTTACCAATATAACGAATTATATATTTTACAGAAAACTATAAAATAGTGATAAGGACATCAGAAAATATCTTTTAAAGACATTGTGAGATGAATAATATGAAGAATAATTTTTAATATCATTTATTATGTCAAATAAATAGATGGCGTTAAATAATTTAATGCAAATTGTTGCTATATTTATTATCAAGAGCATTGATTAGTAGAATTTGTTAAAATATTAACTGTAATATATTCTCTAACTGTCAAATATATCTGTAAAAGTGAAATTTTACCTTTGTAACTAATTCTATATAATAGAGGAATATCAACTATATGTTTACTTACTTTTTATAAATAAATTTCAATACTTGTTTGGAATATTACCATGCTTTTATATTAATGTAATCTTGTAAAAATATTTTATGACTATATATAGACTAAAGCGGGCAGAAGACCCGCCCAAAATGGGGTCTAGGTAGTGTTGTTAAACGGCTAAGTCGAGTCGACTTAGCCTAAAATCTAGTCAAGTTATGAGTCGCAAAACTCATTTCAATTTGAGCGGGGCTTCAGAGTCGGTTCGATGAGTCGGCTTTAAGTAAACAACTTTAATGAGTATAATATATAGAGGGACTCTGAAGCCGACTCATCGAGTCGACTCATGCGGCTCATTGAGCCGCTCAATTTGAAATGAGTTTTGCGACTCCAACTTGAGTTCAAAGTCGTAAAAACTCGACTATTTAACAACACTAGCCGACTCTGAAGCCGACTCAACGAGTGGACTCATGCGGCTCGTTGAGCCACTCAATTTGAAATGAGTTTTGCGACTCCGACTTGAGTTCAGAGTCGTAAAAACTCGACTATTTAACAACACTAGATCTAGGGGCGAAGCCGCCAGTAATTTTTTTAACCCCCCCCCCCTTAGGAAAATCCTGGTTACGCCTATGGCTTACTCTTTACTTAAAAAAATTATATATTATATACAAAAAAAATATTAATTTTTTTCCTACAATAAATAATATAGATAAAATTATGCAAAAAGTTTATATAATAATAAAAGATCTGTTTATATATAATTATAATATATATAAAATTATACAAAAATAATATATTATATATATGATAACATCTTTTATAGCATTTTTATTTATTTTTCAATTGATTTTCTAAATTTTTATCAGACAAACAAGAGCGTTTCTCTCAACACAGCTTTCACCATACTAAACACATGTTCAATTGGCGCAGAGGGGTGAGTTGTATTATATTTAATGAATAAACATTTTAATTCGGGAAATTTATTAGTATTTAATGAATTATCTATATTTTGTAAAACGCTTAATAGATAATCTTCCCAAGGATCTTCATTCATTTCCTCATCAAAATTTTTTTATCTTTATCAAATAATCTGGTATGTATGTTGAACAAAGGAATTAATTCTGCTCTTTCTTCATCAAGATCTTTTCTCAAACTGAAAATAAGTTATAGCATTCTTCCTTTGCTGAGATCTAAGTTTTTACAGGGTAATAAATACAATTTAAATAGCAGGTGAATTTTTAACATTATCGCAAGTTGTAGTTTAGTTACTTTAATTTAACATTATATACGGCAATTCGTAGTTTAGTCATTTTAATTTAAAACTATTACCGCAATTGGTTGTTTAGTCATTTTACTTTAATATTATATAAGGCAACAGGTAGTTTAGTCATTTTAATTTAACATTAAATATGGCTATTCGTAGTTTAGTCATTTTAATTTAACATCATAAACGGTAATTAGTAGCTTAATCCTTTTAATTTAAGATTAATAACTGCAATTCGCATTTTAGACATTTTTAACTTTAAATACGACAATTCGTAGTAAAGTCATTAATATTAAATAGGGCGATTCGTAGTTTACTTATTTAATTTAACATTAATTACCGTTAGTCGAAGTTTAGTCATTTTAATTTAACATTAATTGCCGCATTTCGCAGTTTAGACATTTTAATTTAACAATAAATACGGCAATTCGTAGTTTAGTTATTTTAATTAAACTTATATAGGGCAATTTGTAGTTTAGTCATATTAATTTAACATTTATTATCGCATGCAGTTTAATCAATATAATTTACATTATATACGGCAATTCGTAGTTTAGTCATTTTAGTTTAACATTAATTATCGTAAGTCGTAGTTTAGTCATTTTAATTAAATACGACAATTCGTAGATTTAACATTATATAGGGCAATTCGTAGT